ACTTTCTAAAAATAAATTGCAGGGTGTCCTGAGAGGCCTGAACAGATAGGAGGCTCCTCATATGGCTGCACAAAGCTCAGGCCTGTTCCCGTCCCTCCCAGGTGCCAGCCCCACACGGCATTTTTACCCACTGCCCCCAGGCCAGCCTTGGGCACAGAGGGTCTGGGGGCTTCTCACGCTGGAGAGTTCGGGCTGCAGTCTTCTGTTCAGGTGGAGAATGGTCAAGTAAAAACACACGGCCGAACTTCTCCCACCCATTAGTTACCCTGGAGTGTTGGTGTTTGAGGCTCTCGATAGAGGTGTGGTCTGAGAGAAAAAAGACCCGAAAGCAGGATTTTGGAGACACGAGGTGGGAATAAAGCAAAGCAAGGCTCTCCGTGACCTGCAGGATAAATTACAAGCTCCTTAGCAGGGTCCGTTCAATGGTCTTCGGGACGCGCTCCCCCCGCCCCCACCACACCCCCGGACTCTTCATCCTCCCTGCAGCCCCCACCAGCACTCCTGTGTGCCACCTTCAACATGGGGAACTTGCATGGTCAAAGAGCTACTTGTCCACGAAGCCTGCTTCTTCAAGGAAAATAAGCGCATCTTCCTACTCCAGGTTTATTCCTCCTTTGCATTTCCTCTGGCGCCAGGACAGCTGTAGGGAACTCAGTGGTACCTGGTAGCCTGTGGCTCTGCGTGTCACACCCTCCCCTCCTAACGCACGTCTGGGAAACTATGGAGCTGGTGTTCACGGAAGAATTTCTCTCCCACGATAAAGACACACATTCTCCCTCTCTTCCCCCTCCCCCCCTCCCCGTCAGACCTTCACACAGGCTCATTCCTTTAAAAGTTTATTTCTGATGAATAAAAAATAGTTAAGAATTTATGTGGCCAGATCATTAGCGCAAAGACATTGTGACACAGGGTAGGGCTTCACTTTCCTGTTTTCTTCTGGATTTTGCAGCTCAGGGAGAAGGTGGCTGCGTGACACCCAGCCTTGGGCATTGAGGATAGATAAGGAGACGCCGGTGGAGTGACTCACACATGGATGCTTCTAGGAGATGAGGGAGGTGGGCTCAGAGAAGGCAAAATCCAAACCTCTTCACAGAACTCTCTCTTCTTAGTAGTGTTTGTTTAATGAATCAACAGAAACTTGCCACATGCCCATTCCGAGTGACCATAAACGTATCATACCCACCACAAACTCAGAAAGACGGAGCAGCTGTCTCAGGGACTCGAAATGTGGTAGCAGGGGACCCCTTTGGGGAGGACATCTTCCTCCATCAGCAGCCACCTCGTGAGGCAAGTACTTGGCAGAGGCTGTGGAGCGGGGGACCGGGGCCCCCATCACAGCTGTCAGGATCTTTTGGTTTCTGAACTCTAGACTACTGCCTCTTAGCCTGAAGTGAGCATTTCTCCGGAATTTCTTTGGCTTTGTCAAGGCTCCCTGGGTGTCAGCAGAGGGGACTCTTCCTCGGGGAGTCCGAGTGGCTGAGAGAGCATGCTAAGAAGTCTGCGCTGGGGTTCTCAGGCCCGTATCCCCGGAGTCCCCACCAGAGCCCAGACTGCAGAGCTGGGAAAGAGACCGTGGCTTGTTTATGACGACCACCTTGTGGCTCGGGTCGTGCGTGAGGTGTTAGTCTTTGGGATTACTTTGGAGGTGGAGTTTACACTTTAGGGGGGTTTGCAAGAATTGTTTTTTTCCATAAATGGCTTTGGTTGCCCATAAACTGACAATAAAAAACCCCAAAAAGAAAGTAGGTAAAACCCGTGGGAAGCCCTGTGGGGTTTTCCATGATAAATACATGTGCTGTGGCTACAGGGGCTCATTCCTTAGGGCCTGTGCGCAGACCACAGGCGGCCGGCCGCTCTGGAGCTGACCTGGAGGGCCTGGGTGACCGGCCCTGGGACTTGAGGTGCCTGGCTGCACACCCGGCAGGGTGGCAGCTGACTGTGCACGCGGCAGTTTACACCAGGGCTGTCTGTCCACCTGCATGCGGCTTTAGCCTCCTTGCCCAAAGCCCTTTGAAAGCAAAACCAAACAAAACCCAAACTCCCGGGTCACTGGGCCGTGCGAAGTCCAGTCCAGGTTCATTTCTTGACCACCAGGGACAGTAATTTCTGGGCCCAAAGACTCAAAGTCCAAGTTAGTTCTGGGAGAGGAGGCACACATCCACCCACCTGCTCCCCTCTCCCAGAGACACATCTCTACGCTCCAGGCCAGGGGCCATACTTAGCCTGAAACCAACCTCCTGTTAGCAGCTCGCACCTGATGCAGCCTCATAGCTGCGTTATCTCCCTTGCAAGAAGACCCAGAAGCCATCCGGGACACGCGCATGAGCACCTATTAAATAACGCCCAGACAAACCACAGCCTTTCAACCGTTTTATGAGATGAGAAGAGATTGCGCCAGGCACAGGCCGCTCATACGCGTGCACGCAGGGTGGGAGAGGACGAGAGGCAAAAGGCCAGGACCACATCTCGTGAGAACTGGGAACTGACCTCCAAACTTCTCCTGGCAGCAGCCAACTCCAGGTGGGGGGATAGTTACACAGGTCCCACAAAAACAACCTGTGTTCTGTGCCTGCTTGTCAATGTTGTAAAGACAGGCTTTTCCGTGTGGTTCATCTCTGGAGGTGTTTCTGGTTTTCAGACGCAGCAGAGGGTTTAAATGACTTTGAGCTGTAAGTCAGCAAGACAGAAATCACTCTCCGCCCCTGCCTAGCTCCTGGGACGCCAGGATGTGCCTGGGACAGGTTTGGAAGGGGCAGTGGGGCAGACACCCTGGACACAGCTGGAAGATGAGAGGGCCCAGGGGTGGGGTGGGAGGAGCCATGGGGGGCTCCCCATAGTCCTGCTACACAAGGCCATTAATACATCCTGATTCTCAGCCTTTGGGTCTGACACAAGTCTCAGAAAGCATCCCTCCTTGGACTGTCTCTCGGGGGAGCCTCCCCAGTCAAAGGGGCACTCAGACTTTTCATTCGGAGATGGGGTGTGGTGGGGTTCAGGCCAGGGCAGGGATGAAGTGTTGTATTGCTGTTGTTGTCAGGTGCCCTTGAGTCGATTCCAACTCATGGTGACCCTACAGGACAGAGTACAACTGCCCCACAGGGTTTCCTAGGTCTTTTCTCCTACGGAGCTGCTGGTGGGTTCCATCCACAGACCTTTCGGTTAGCAGCCAAGCACTTAACCACTGTGCAACCAGGGCCCCTTGAAGGTTTGTGTTAGCTTTTCTCTGCGTGCTCAGAGCCCCACCAGCTCCTCTTCCCTTCAGAGGCCAGGCCTCCCCGCTCCACCTTCTACACTCCCTCTGCTTGTTTACGTTTAGGCTCTATTTCCTCTCGCTTTCTACTCTCAGGAAAAAATCCTAATGTGCACAGCATTTGCAGGCCTCTTACAAATAGGGGAAACTGTCAGAAGTTCAGCGATATTTTAACACCATAACATGGGCGAGGGTCTGCTAAAACAGAGTCACCAGCATGGTCTAAGGGTGATACTTTCTGAGGACCAAGGCACCAACGTTCCCCTCTGGGTAGAATTTTGAAATGATAAAACAACAACAACAAAAAAGACACTGTCGTTGAGTCGATTCCAACTCATAGCAACCCTACAGGACGGAGCAGAACTGCCCCATAGGGTTTTCTAGGCTGTAATCTTTACAGAAGCAGACTGCCACATCTTTCTTCCGTGGAGCAGCTGGTGGATTTGAATGTCGCCCTTTCAGTTAGCAGCTGAGGGCTTGACCATCTGGCCGTGAGGGCTCCTTTTTGAAACGATCCTGTGGATGAAATCTGAGATGTGAGATCACATCATTGCAGAGGAGTGGAGGATGACTGACTGTTATCAGTTTTAAAAACTCATCTTCCCCATGAATTCTTTCAAAGACACCTGCTGGCTGGCAAAACGGTCTACCCTCTGAGCCATTAAGCCTTCAAGGACTGTCTTAGGTAAAGGCTCAGATGAAAGGTAAATTCAAGGTCTTAAAAAGCCCTTCCGAAGACAGGGCTCTGAACAGAGAAAAGGAGGTGTGTGTGTGTGGGGGGGGGGGAGGTGACAGCCATGAAATGGACTCTGAATTGCATATGTCTTCACTTATAAGATGTGATAACAAGCAAAACTACTTTGTTAAAGGTTCACATTGATTTTAGGAATATTACAATGCAGAAAAAAAAAGCATCCAACTTGGCATAGAGGACAGGTGACAGATTTTTAAGCAATGACACAGGTCTGCGTGGGTGATTTATGAACTGCACCAGCCTCTGCACAGTAAGGCGCCCAGAGGCTTTATTGCAGCCCCTGCCCACCCAGGCCCGACAGGCCTCCCATCCCTCCGCCCTTCTGACATGGAGGAACACAATCATCATTCCATTTTCTGGGCCACACACACAAGGTGGGTCTAGATGGAACAAGGAGCTTACACACTGAGACAAGAGAGTGTGCGAACAGGAGTGGTAATTCTTCACCCCCTGGGGTGAGCCAGTGTGCAAGGGACGGGAGGGGACCCACGGCACCCCTGGAGTCGACGCTGCTCATGTTTCTAGCTTTTATTAACTGTGTCCAGCTCCAATGTCCATCTTCTCCCAAGAGGAAAAAGAATATCATGAATATCTATGACACCAATCATTTTCCCCCGAGCCACTCTTTCTTTTCCTACTGAGATTTCACAGAAGGCCCAGGCGCAGGCCTAGAGAAGGACCAACAAAAGCAGAAGTGTCTGAGAATGACATAATACTGACTTCTCTTTTTGGTAACAGTCCCCGAGACGTGCGCCCCTCTCCTGAGATACGGTGAGGTGTGAGGGGAGGCGGCGGAGGAGCTGTGGGTGGCACACTGTACCGTGTGACATCACGATCATGCAGCTGGTGCCCGACAGGACAGAGGAGTGAGGAGGGGCGCTTGGGGCTCGCCCCAGGGGAAGCGGGCTCTTTCTAGGCAAGTGCCCGGCCTCTCAGGGACACTGCTGTCCAGTCCTGCATGGCCGGTCCCTGGGGCTCGCCACCTTGTCTCTGGCTCTAGCCTTCGTCTTCCCTCAGCTCGGTGGGCAGGAATTTATACTGCTGCTGGCGGATCTGGGCCAGCTTTTTCCTTGCTTCTTCCAGTTCTCGTTCCTTCTTGAGCATTTCCTCCTGGGCAGCAATGATCTAGAAAAAAAGCCACAAGCTGGGTGGGGTTAAAACGCTTTCGGAAACCGCCTTCTCCGGCACTGCTTGCCTCATGAGCTCCACGCCCCTGGCTCCAGTGGGACACCACAGCGCACCGGAACAGCACGCTCAGCGCCGGAGACCAGCCGCCCAGCCCGGGCTTGGGGTTGAGGACCAACGACCCAGATGGCCCAAGCAAACAAGCTGACTTCTGGCCACCGACTGAAGAGCAAAGGAGCACTTCTACTCTGTCCGAGAAGGTCGCCTAGTTGGAATCAACTCGATGGCAACGGATTTGGTTTATTAAGCTCCTGGGTGGTGTAAATGGTTAACACACTCGGCTGCTAACCAAAAGGTTGGAGGTTGAAGTCCACCCAGAGGCACCTTGGAAGAAAAGCCTGGTGATCTGCTTCCAAAAAATTAGCCACTGAAAACCTTCTGGAGCACAGTTCTACTCTGACACACATTGGGTCGCCATGAGTTAAAATCAACTTGATAGCAATGAGTTCGGTTTTTTTTTTTTTTTTTGGTTCTAACATTTTAGGGGTAGACACTGTTCTGAATTTAATCACAAACCTGAGCGATGCCCCCTACGAATTTTGTTTTCACTACGACATCGTCATCGTCAGCTTTGCCAAACGCGGCCTGCTGGGCAGCACGGACAAGACTGTCTGAGGCTCTTTTCACGGCGTTTCCTGCCGCCTGGAGAGGGAACAAAACACAGATTACATCATTAGAAACAGCCATTTGGATCTGGGAGGCACAGACCTGAAAGTACAGTTCACGAGACCAACTCATGAGAACACAAGTCAACTTATCACACAGAAGTTCTCTCTAGGCCGTGAGTGTCTGTCCGTCCGTCTGTCCATCTACGCACTGATTGTACCAACAATGGCACGTACCACGTGCCAAGCACGGCTTACTCACAGATGACCTGAGACACAGTTCCTAGCCCCCGCGGAGCACACAGTCTTGAGGGGCAGAGTCATGTAAAGAAATGATCACAGCAGCAAAGCGAGACGCATGTTAAGCTAGACACACCAGGGGCCGCTTCCTGGGTCCCAATCCTGTTTATCACGTATTTCAGGGCTTGGTTCAGGCCTCACTTTTTCCTGTTTGCCTTGGCCTTCCCCGCCCGCTCTGCGCTCTTGAGTGCTCTGTGCTGGACCCTCTGCAGCCCCGACCACCCTGGTGGTTGCCTGGCTCCCTCCAAGACGGTGAGCTACTGGGGGCAGGGCCGTGAACTGACTCTGCGTCTCCAGCACCCGCACAATGGCTGCCCAGGGTGGGTGCTAACTGGAAGCTTTGGAAGGGATGAAGGGCTATGAAAACACAGGTGGGGGCGCACCTGCCCCTGCGTGGAGGGCTGGAAGCTTGTAGTGATAGGGCCTTCACAGATGCAGAATCACAGCTGAGTCTTACGTCATGTGCTCAAGAACGGGGAATTGCTAAAGACAGCTAAAGAAAAGTTTGTCTCTTCATGGAGAACTACAGCCCATACTGGCTCACCCTTCACCTTCACAAAGGGAGGCCCAGGGACTTACCCTCTGCCACCTGTGGATTGGACTTTTCTTCTAATGGTGATCGAGTTCTATCGATCCTCCCATTTCCCTGCCCAGCCCCTCTCAGGATTAAGGGCTTTTGCCTGAAGGTCAGCCATCAGAAAGTTGAATTTTTCTCCTTCACAGCTAACTGGCCCAACCACGAGTCTTGGCATCTCTCTTACCCCATGTTTAATCTCTTTTATGTCTCAAAAGACATTGACTCAAGATACATCCTATAATAATCCTGCCTCATGGACATAACAAAGACAACCCATTTCCAAATGGGATTATAACCACAGGCATAGAGGTTAGGATTCACATCACACATTTTTGGGGGATATAACTCAACACACAACAGTGACCCAATGGGGACTATGAGCACTTGTATAACAAAGGAAAAGGAAGACAGTTAATATTTGATGAGTAGCCATCTCATCTATTTAGTCTCAAAATAGCTCTATGAGTCAGAAATCATGAGTCCACTTTTCAGATGTGGAAACTGAGGTTAAGTAACTTGTCTAAAGCTCTGTAGCTAGTAGGCTGTAGAGTCAGGATTTGAACACAGGTCTGTTTAGCCCCAGAAAACCTCTAAGGCTCATTGTAAGGGACTCAGACATGACATCACAGCATCCGGTTAAATGAGAAACAATGATAACAACAGAAGGATGCTGTATTACATCTGTGTAAACCTCTACAATTTGCAGAAGAACTTTCATATCCATTATCCTATCTGACTTCCATAAGAGGCAGTTTGCACATATCTCTACCCCCATTTTACAGATGAGGCAACAAAGGCCTGATGACTTTTGAGTGATTTGTATAAGGATCATGCACCTCATGCATGGCTGAGGCAGGACTTGAACCCAGGTCTCTATAACTCATGATGTCTTCCTCTGAAGTGTTCCAACATCCCAGAAATTACAGAATCCTATACATGCTGTTCCTCAAATCCCATGGGATTATCCCAGGAGTCAACTGGGGATGAGGAAGGTGGGTCAGAGAGAGGCTCAGGAGGATGAAAAAACAGAAACGCACTTAATGACTTTTAACATAAAACTAGAGTTCTTTGTTTTGTTGGAGCTGTCCAAACATTCCGCCCATTTATGATTTTATTCACTGTCTTACATAAACATATATTGTTATGCAATAGAAACAGTCTGTATCACAATACTTACGTAATAAAAAATCCAGAAAATTGGAAATAAACAAAATGTCCAAAGTATAGGGAAATTATGACATAATTACTTGATGTAATATCATGCATTCATTAAAAATGAGACTTAGGAAGAAAGGACCAGCTAGCCTTGCACAGAGAAAATATGAAGCCTTTTCTCCAAGGGAAAAAATAAGCATGATAAAATGTTAAGTGAAAAACCTATGTCATTGTGATTACAGCTAGGCAAAATTATTTTGTAGGTAGACTAAAAGCAGCAAGAGAAAAAAATGGAAAGCGCTGGATGTGTGACGATGTTGAGGCTATGCGACTCTTCTTTCAAACATCTCCTTCCTTGCGTTTACAACAGTGTTTTATCAATAAGACAATGAGGAGAACGTAGAAGCACTGGGAAGGAGCTGACTGTCCCCTTCACAGGCGTGTTCTTTAAGCTCTGGGAAACCCAGCAACAGTCCGATAGCAATTCCTCAGTCCTTTCACCTCCTTCTTCAGCAAACACTGAATGAGGACCAGCTCTGAAACAGGCACCGTGTTAGGTGTGAGAGATGTAAAGACAAAGATGTGGTACCTGCACCTAAGCTCACAGCCTGGTCACAGACAGACATCCAATCAACGCAGTGGCGCGATCTGACAGGAGCTGTAAGAGCGGCCTGGCCGGGGGCTCTGGCAGGACAGAGGAGGGACTGATGGCCTGAGGCCTGGGAGTCAGGGAGGGCTTCCCAGAAGAGGTGACACTGGGCATGAGTCACAAAGGACAAGTAGGAGTTGGCCAGGTTGGGCTGGAGTAGGGAGGAGGGTCAGGACCTTCCAGGTGGAGCTGAGACTTGAGTGAAGGTCCCAAGGTGTGAGAGTGGAAGGCTCCCGTGGAGAATGTCAGCTTGGTGGGGCAGAGGTGGTAGGATGCATGGAAGCATGTGGCAGAGACGAAGCTGGAAGTGGAACGGGCCGGCTGATGGGGGGCCCGGTGGGTCACGCCAAGAAGTGGACAATCCCCTTTGGCGTCACATACCAGCTCTGAGAGGAGTATTTTCCCACTAGTATCAGTCGCCATTACCTGTAGCCGCCTCATGGCCTCCGAGTCCTGATCGGCCTTCACCTTGCAGGCCACAAGCAGCTGAGCCGTGGAAGCGGCGACTTGCTTGGCGGATGAGATGAGCTTCTCCTCACTGGCGTGTCCCTGAACGGACGCATTGGCTGCCTCGCAGAGATTGCTGGTTGCTGCCGCCACCATCCGGGCCTGGGGACAGTCAACAGACAAGTGACCCAAGGCCCAAGGCTCTCCCAGGGGATCCACAAAGCAAAGGGGGAGGAAGGAGGAGACTCACGGCAGAAATCAGCCCCTGTGACCACTGTCCGTCATCTGCTGCGTTGGCAGGGATGGAGCCGACCTAGACAGTGGAGATGAGAAACCTTGAGTGAGATCTGGAAAGCCCAAGGTGAACTGCAGCCCCCTCGGGACTTACCTTGCCCTGTGGCTGCAGGGGGCAAACATCTCGTCAGACACGTGGCACTGCACGGTGCTCCCACTGACAGCAGCCTGAGGAGGGAGCACCCTCTCTCGTGCGGGACCCTGGCCACTGCAAGACTGCACCAACACAGCCTGGCTGGTCTCCATTTGGGCCTCAAAGAATCAGTGAGAAGCCCTCAGAACAGCTTCTGTTTAGCTGCCAGATACTGCATTTCTGTTGGGGTAGTATTGGTTCAGTGGTAGAATTCTCGCCTTCCATGCAGGAGACTCAGTTCGATTCCAGGCCAATGCACCTCATGCACAGCCACCACTCTCTGTCAGTGGAGGCTCCAGACTAAGATGGAGCAGGAAGAAAGGCCTGGCAATCTACTTCTGAAAATTAGCCAATAAAAACCCTATGGATCACAATGGTCTGATTTGTAGCCAATCATAGGGATGATACAGGACCAGGCAGGGTTTTCTTCTGTTGTGCATAGGATCACCATGAGTCAGGGGCCATCTTGACAGCAGATAACAACACACCTCATCTCTGGGAAGTCTCGGGGAACAGGATCCGGGCTGGCTTTCCATGCTCACTTCCTCTGCTGACCTTTTCCCAATTAAAACATGGGAGTCACAGGTCTTATCTTGCAAGGGCGGAGCCACTGAGGTCTCCTGCAAACTTCAATGTCTCCTGAAAACTTCTATGGGACTTTCCTGGCAGGCCATGCTAAAAAAGGGTGGTGCATCTCACTCCATACAACTGGGTGCAGACCCCGGGCTTGAGGAAATACAGGTCACCTTGTCGGGGGTAGGGGGAGAAGACAGACGCGGGGACAAGACATCTCTGTTTCTATTTAGAGGTTACAGCAATAAGTGAAGCATTTTCTGTCCAGACTCAGAGGCAGGTGCTAGGGGAGGAAATACCTTTACACTTATGGGAGGTGCCTGGAGAGGTAAGAGGCGAGTATCTCATTTTAAATAGGAAATTGGGGGTCCATCAGCAATGACAGGCCCATTGTGGGGCTCGCTGACTGTAAAATTTTACTGTAAGGTAAAATCCCGAGGTCCTGCACATGTATAATCATACAGTCCACCCAAGTCCAGCAGAAATTCCATTGCCAACTTATTAAATGTCTGAAGATAAGTTCCTTGGAGGGCAGGGACTCTGCCATAGTCAGGTTCGATTCTGTAGGAGCTGGAAAAGTGTCTGGCATATATCAAACCAGTTGCCATTGTGTTGATTCTGACTCATGGAGACCCTATATGTGTCAGAGTAGAACTATGCTCCATAGGGTTGTCTTTTAATGGCTGATTTTTTGGAAGCAGACAGCCAGGCCTTTCTTCTGAGGAGCCTCTGGGTAGACTTGAAGCTCCAACCTTTTGATTAGTAGCCAAGCACCTTAACCCTTTCCCTTTGCATCACCCAGGGACTCCACTTGGCATATTAAAAAATAAATAAACAAACAAAAAAAAAACCATTGCCATTGAGTCGCTTCTGACTCACGGTGAGTTACACAGTAGAACTGCTCCATGGGGTTTTCTTGGCTGTAATCTTTATGGAAGCAGATTGCCAGGCCTTTCTTCCACAGTGCTGCTGGGTGGGTTCTAACCACCAACCTTTAGTTACAAACCGTTTGCAGCACCCAGGGACCTTGTCTGGCATACAGGAGGTTCTTTAGCAAGGTTGAACGAAACGGAAATTTCCTTCATGACTCATTTTTGGTCTTGTTGACTGGTCAACGAGTACCTGCTGAGCACTCATGATAAGTTCAGCATTCAGCTAGATTTATGGGGATAAATGAGAAGCATACAGAGTGTTCATGCTCGCTAGGGAGATGGACACACATCAGTACTGAATAACACGTGATGGGTTAGAAAGAGGAGGCGAAGTGTGGGGTTTAGATTAAGACATGGCTGAGCTCGCAAGAAAGGGGCACTTTCGGAGGAAGGTGGACGGCCACTGGTCTCAGGTAACTTCCTGTCTGTGTTACAAGTCTTAGGTCAAGACAAAGCGTATCTAACTATCAGTACGTTGGTGGCAAAGGTCTTTTAATATCATGTGGAAGTGACCGACAGTCACGGTGACCCAACTTCTCAAACCAAAACTCGGGCCCACCACTTGACAGGATTTCGGTAGAGTCTCTTTGTTTGCGAGGCTCTCTCCAAGGTGCAGTTTAGATGGGGTGGCTCAGCGTTGTGTGGGACTGCAGGGCAGATGGGGTATTTTAAATGGGAAGACCTTCTCATATATACGATCAGTCTGTATTGTTAGCTGCCATCAGGTCACCCTTGGCTCATGGGGACCCCGTGTACAGCAGAGTGAAACCCGGCATGGTCGATCCTGCGTTAGCCCCATGATCAGTTGTGGATCAGACCGTTGTGATCCATAGCATTTTTAATGGCTGATTTTCAGTAGATTGCCAGGCCTTTCTTCCTAGTCTGTCTCAGTCTGGACTCTGCTGCAACCTGTTCAGCATCATAGCAACACGTAAGCCTCCAATGACAGATGGGTGGTGGGTGTGCATGAGGTGTACTGGCCGGGAATCGAACCTGGGTCTCTTGCACAGAACGAGAGAATTCTTCCCCTCAACAACCACTGCCCCCTCGTATGAGTCCAATGCACCAGTAATCCTTCAGCTCTTTAGAAAAGAACTACGCTTTTACGAGCGAGCTGAGATGAAGCGGACTGAAGAAATCTCTGATTTAAAACCAGACTGGCCTTTTGATCAACGGGCGTCGGAAAATGCTAACTGTGCAAAGCTGGATAGCGTTCAGCTCTCCAGTCCTACAAAGTGAATGGAGCCATCTGGATTTGGGAAGGGTAGTATAAAGCCCCTGACTACGGTGCTCAGAAGGAAAATACAGCAGATGATGTCTTTAAACAGCTTGCTATCCAGCGGGCGGCGGGGACATAAATGTCTTGCTCAGGACCTGGTGACGCTTCGACGGGAATACCTTCCTTAACAAGAAGCAGCTGAGAGGCCGGGAAGCCAAACCCTTCCTTCTGTTTGTCAGGATTAGGCAAACAGAGTTCACAGTGAGTCCGGGCAAGAACTGGCATGTGGGTGAGGAAAGGCGCAGCGTCTGTTGCCGGGGTCAGGCCAAAAGCTTTACATCTTTCCCTTGGCCTTGGAGGCTCTCCCTGCACAAACGTCCCACCGCTTGGCCAGCAGGGCTCACCCACCTTTCCTTGGGCCACCAGCTCCCTCTGGGCTGCCGAGGCCGATTTGACCAGGGCACTTGTGGCAGCAGCAATAGATTTAGCGGCTTCCAAGATCTGTTCTTCAAAATCCAGGGTCTCATCCGCTTGCTATAATCAAAAGAAAACAGTGTCATATACAATTCATACCCACAAAGAGCACTTTCTACCAAACGACTTACTGCTTGGTCCCCTGGTTCTCCGGCCTGTCTACCGGTTTTTGGCGACAAGCCACACCCAGGGTGGAAACGCCTAAGCTGGCAGGATGCTTCTTCACCTGCTGCCCCCCACCCCGCCCCATTCTAAAAGGTAAAAGCTGGAAGCATTGACGTGCTATGCAAATTTTAAAACAGAAAATTCTAAAAGGCAGACTATTTTTCTGGACCAGAATCCTTAAGGAGACAGAAAACCATGATGAATAAAACAGACTCAAACGGTTCCATCAGCATCGATAATAAAAAAACAAAAAATAATCAGTAATAATAAAAAATCAAGAGTGGGTGGTGGCACCCTTTTCCAGAGCTTAAAGCTCAAAAAATGGGTTGAAAAGAGGTAAAGATGGTTGTTGGTTGTGAAATGCTTTATTATTATTTTTTTTTTGGCAGGAAACACAAAAGCAAAATAGCATTTGCAGTTCCGTGACTGAGCAAGGAGAGAGTTACACACCAGTCACAGATCACCCAGTGGTGGAATAGGAATCCAGGCACTATGGCGTCAAGGCAGAACACATTCAGTTCCCTGGAGTACTGAGGCATGGCTCCACCTTGGGAAGACACCGGACATCACCGCATAGGTGCTGTCAGGCCACCAGGGCTCCGTTCTAATTCACCACCACCACGTCCTCCGCTGCCTAAATTACCAGGAAGTGGAAGAGAAACTTTGGGGGTGCGAGATAAGTGTAAAGACCATGGTCCCGGGGTGGGTAGGTGGAGCATCATGATTTGGGGTAGCCGGACTAGATGAAAGGAACTCCGATGGCCCAGTGGTTAAGCGCTTGACTGCAAACCGAAAGGTGGGCGGTTCAAACCCACCCACCACTCCTTGGGAGAAAGATGTGGCAGTCTGCTTCCATAAAGATTTATAGGCTTGGAAACCCCAGCTGTATTCTGTCCTAGAGGGCTCGCTAGGAGTCTGAACTCAACTCAGTGGCAGTGGGTTTGTTTTGATTTTTTTTTGGTATAGATAGGGTAACTATGAGTTGGAATTCGACTCGATTGGCAGTACTTTTTGTTGTTGACGAACTAGATGATCTCCAAGGTCCCCTCCAGCAGTAACATCCTATCACTCTACAACAATTTGGTTACATTCCATATGGAATGCTAACTGTTGACTATGCAGCTGGCACCTTTTAGGCATTCAGAGGAAGGTCAGACATAACAGTACACTTTCAGAGTGCCTGGTATGTGCCAACGTTTTGTTAGGCACTTCCACATACATTAACTTAATTCTCCCAAAAAAGAAACATAATACTGTAGTTATCATTATCCTTATTCCCTCAGTGAGGAAACTCAGGCTCAGGGAGGTGGACTATTGGGCCCAAGGGTCACACGGCAGCATGCAGAATGAGAATCTAAACCTAAATCCCTTTGACTCCAAAACGGTATGTTTTTCTAGCCTGGGCCAGCTCCTAAGGCATCAGTAGGAATGATTTAACGAGATGATTCCAGTGTCGGAGGCTCTAAGCAGCTTTGCTAACAGGCCGGTGTGAACCATCAGACAGGATGGGTATCGCTCTTTTCCATTTCCCTATTCTTAACGGGAACATTTTGAGCCACAAAGGATGCCGATCTCATTTCTGACAACTCATAATATCAAAATAAAATTTCAATGTACATCTGGTAGAGCTGAAGAAAGACGGCAGCAGCTGAGAAGTTCTGAGATAGAAGCTGTCTATTCTTTCTTATTTCTGGCAGAGTCTTGCTCTAGGGGCACATATCACAGAACTGGATTCAGTTCCCCTGGATTATTTTGGATTCCTTTATTACTGGGGGGAGTGGGTGCTGGGATGATGGTGGAGAACAAATTTGTTTACTGAAATACAAAAACGACTCATTATAAGACACTCTGGCATAAAAGGTACTCATACATAGATGTAAAAGAAATTACACTAGGCTGTGACATATATATATACATTTAACAACCTCGAGATTAAGATCTTGTCTGGAAATTCATTCTGCAAAGAAAGTCCAGCATACAACAGATAATGACGCCGGGGAAATCAGAACTGTTGAGTCCCATGGGTCCTAGGACCTGTCCTCATTTTGCGGATGAGGAAACGGAAGCCCTTGGTGGCTCCTCAAAGTCTCCCAGACTTTTGTCTCGGGCGGCCTCAGCAACACCATGGCTTCCAAGTCTGGGTTTGCTTTACAGTGTGTAATAATCGGTCAGTAGATTTCTGATTTCCCAAATTTTAAGATTTACAAAAATGGAGTTTCCTTAAAATAAAGTGCTAACTCTTAGCATGGATGGATCTGATGGAATCGTCTCATTACAACTGATTTGAAGAGCCTCTCCCACGTCTTCCGCTGCCTTGGAATTTTTTTTTGGTACAACACATGCTTGAAATATTCAACTTGGAAATAGTTCTGACACCCACAGACTTTTCTTGCAATGGCAAGTGTTGTAATGCTCTTTGATGAGTACTTATTTTTCCTTCCAAAGCATCTCTGCTTTCAGATAGACACAGAAGACAGTCTTATCTCTGGGAGACATGTGCTCTGATCATAAAGCCACTGGAGAGTTCTCCGAGGAAGGCACAACAAAGCTACTGGGACGGTAACAGGGGCTGGCAGAAAGGAGGGGCTGTCAGGGCTGTGCTCTGGGCAGGGCCCCATGACGAGACCTGCCTCTGTTTGCTGGATCCAGTGGTGGAAAAGAAATCATCTGTATCTTTCCATATGCCCACCAACCCTATCTCTCTTGCCGAAAGTAGACACCAACACTTAATGTATCCTCATATACAACTTCTAATCCAAGAGTAAATGGGATCTCCCCAAGCAAGGAGACTCAGTTTCCCCATTAGCTTTATCTCCCACCAGCATCCAGAATGGAATCTGGAATTGGAGTCAAGAGGGCGGGAAGAGAAGGGAAGGAGGACCCAAGCGTAATCACATTATAAAAAAGGTGAGAAACAGAATCGACTTGGTTTTTGAAGGATCACAATTAAAAAGCAGGATTTATTAACAGAGCCATCTCCACCGTAGCTGGGACGTGGAGATGAGTCAGGAGACCAGGTTCCTCTCACTGGGCTTTCATCCTCATCTGCTCACCAGAGAGACTGAGTTAGCTGGTCTCTTAAGATCCTCTTCAGCTGAGAGATTTTACTGACAGGACCCAGGTTTCTCGGATCGTACCTCTGGCTTAGGGAAGACTGACTACAGTCCCCAGCAATTCGATCTTCTAAAGAGCCTTTAAGATTGTTGAAATAATATTTTAAAGATTATGACTCATCTTACGCATGTGGCTATTCGTATACTGCATGAAGCGAAGGCCACCGACTTAAGAAAATGCTCTCATATGAACAGGCCAGCTTGATGGCCCTCAACACACCATCATCTGCGGATCTAGGTAAAGATGCAGATACTCTTTCGGGAGGTCTGCAGCAGGCAGTCCATTCCAACTCATGTGACCCCGTGTGTGCAGAGTAGAAATGCCCCATCAGCTTTTCAAGTCTGTGACCTTTGGGAAGCAGATCACCAGGCCTGTCTTCCGAACTGCCCATCCTTCAGCTAGTAGTCCAATGCATGACCGTTCACACCACCCAGGGACCCTGATTATGGACTGCTCTGTGGGAAATGCTGGCCTAGACTAAGAAAAACAAACCCCAGTGAACTTAATCTGACTATGATCTTCTCCAGGGCCCGGACTGTGTTTTATTCAGTTTATGTCCCGCTAGCACAAAATCGGAGCCCTGAAGGCGCAGTGGCTAAGAGCTCAGCTGCTAACCAAAAGGTCAGCAGTTCAAATCCACCAGCAGCTCTTTGGAAACCCTGTGGGGCCATTCTACTCCGTCCCGTAGGGTAGCTATGAGTCGCAATCAACTCGATGGTAATGGGTATAGGTGGGTCGGCAGAGGGCCAACAGGTTTACTAGTTCTAATAAAAGTGCAACGTCCCAGAACAAATGGGACTACCAAGAGTGCAGACCTGGACAGCTGGCCTGGTCCCACCAGGCTGGCCTGATCTCAGGAAGACTCCAGGGAGACCATGAATGGACAAAGCAGGTGCCACAGTACCCGCCACACAGTTATGCCTGCAACCTGGGGAGGGAGCAGCCTCTGCCTGCAGATGTGGAATAAGGCAAGTGTGTGCAGCATCCACTGCGAAAGGCCCAAGCTTGCAAAGTTTGCACGATTAGTATTTTGGAAGTGGTTTTCCCGTGGTATCCACTGTTCTATGACTTGTTTTTCCTAAAATGAAAACTAATACCACTGAAATGGTCTTTCAGGCACTATTCATGCTTAATAAGAAAAACGAAACAAAACACCTTAAAGACTGTCTCATTCTCCAAAGACAAAACAAAAAACCAAAACCAAACAAAATATCCAAAAAGGGTACCTGAATGTCTATACAGGAAGCGTAGGACAAGAAAAGGTAACAGAATTCTTTCAAAGATTTAAGATAAATTCGCTACACCTTAAGTGCCTCCGATATGAATCCTAGGTGTTTCTGGGAGGGTCTGACAGGACCTACCATTTCACACGGTGGGGAGTCACTGGGCAACATGTAATGGCCGAGTTCTCAGCACACCTTTGCTTTTCACTCTTTGTGTCTCCTAACCTGGTACTGAGGAGCGGAAGATGAGCTCAAAGCCCAGAATTTACCCATAGAGAAAATACTATGTTTGCTAATCCTTCTCCCTGAACATGGTTGCCTTTCCCCACTCTCTACATTAGTCAATACAGAGGGTGTGCTGGTCAACAACAAAATTACCGAAAGACACAAGAAAGTCACATTAGTTTAAATAGACGAGAGACATGGAGACCTCATACCACCAAGAAAGCAGCCCCGGGAGCAGAGCGTGTCCTTTGGACCCGGGGTCCCTGCACTGAGAAGCTCCTCGACCGGGGATGATTGATGACAAGGACTTTCCCCTAGAACCCACAGAGAGAGAAAGCCTTCCCCTGGAGCTGACGCCCTGAATATGGACTTCTAGCCTCCTAGACTGTGAGAGAATAAATTTCTCTTTGTTAAAGCCATCCACTTGCGGTATTTCTGTTAGAGCAGCACTAGATGACTAAGACACCATCGGCTTGCCCCTGTGTGGGGCTATCGCTTACACATACCTCCCTCAGGAATGCTCTTTAAGAAACAGCGCTTCTCCTTCAAAAAAAAACTGACCTATTAGCAAAGTAGCTCTGCTCCCAGAAAGCAGTGCTCACAGAGTCTTTTGTTGAGAGAGCTTAGAATGAGCTCACACATACTTCACAGGTCAAAACCAACCAAACAAGACTGTTATGTATCAGAAAAAAAAAAAAAAATTTCTATATCATAATCCCCAACTTCCTGCTGCAGCCAATTAGGCTATGGATTTATTCTGTGATTGTTGGTTTATTCTAAATATTATCAACCTCTGCTGACAAGTTAACGCATAACAGGAAATTCAACAGACAGAGCGCAGTCCATATTACATGACCTCTGTTAGATATGTTTAGGCCCAGCCAAGGTTCCCATAAAGCCCGATGACCCACCACCCACGCAGCTGGCGTGGCCAATTTGGTTTATACATGTTGTTATTAGGACTGGAGAGGAAGTTACGGATAGTTGATTTGTGCTTCTTGAATTTTAACTGAAACCTTGATTAAGAAAATTACTAATTACTAAATTGAGGATCCAGATAAAAATGAACCAAAATGAAAACAAAATATAAATCTAAATGTGTTTGGAGGTTATAATCCTGACTTTTATCCTATGCCACAAACATGGGTTGAAACCTTCTATTTCTTCCCCCAAGTATAATCCTTAAGGATTCATTACTGCACAAATCTAAGTCATACATAAAATCTCAAGCCCTTATGAAACACCGAAGACCACGATCTGTTTCTACAATAACGAGTAATCGGGCAATACTGACCCAAACGCTACAAGAAGAAATGGAATATATAACATGATGAAAAGTAACAACCACTCTGTCTTCTAAATCTACTTGTGATCTTATCATATTCTTCCCTGTTGCCTTACAAACTTTATTAGACACCCCCGGAGACAGGGCAAGACACTGTAGGAATATGTTTGATATATAGTTGGATTAAATAACAACCTAATATATCAAACATATCACACAGAGGCCTGCAGAAAAGGCATCCAGGTTTGACTGAGCTTGAGAATAGACACAGTACTGAAGGCTACAGCTGCGGGGCGTGGTCACCCACTGCAGCGTCTCCTTTACCTGACTTTGCAGGCATAGGTCTGTCTGCAAGTGTGGAAACGGCGCCATTAGCAATACTGTAGGTACATGCACCCAGGCTCACTGATACTCTTTTTGCCATCATACTATCTTCCCCAGCAAAAGGTGAATTCGACGGTGCAAATTTGTTAATTCATCTCTAGATTTCAGGCAAAAAGAGATGCTTAAATTGTAAGGGTCAGAGATGGGATTATGCTAGCCATCATCTTCCTAGACCACGGACCATTCTACTTTTAGTATATGTGCAGCCAGAGTGAGCACATGGACCATCCCACTTTTAAAACAGGCAACTTACGAAAGTGGTGAGCAGAACAATTTACCTAAAACCATTGCCTCTCCCAAAACTATTCTCCCAAACAGTGCAAATGCCCCCCAGTTATGGAAGAAAGGCATATTCACTTTATACGGAATGTGTGTGAGTGTGTGTGTGTGTATGAGAGAGAGAGATAGGGGGTTGGAGGGATGGGGTCTACAACAGCAACTGTCTATTTATAGTATCCTTGGGATGTTTTGTTTTTTGCTTTTTAAGGTTATAGGAGAGGGGAGGGGAGTAACAAAAAACCTGACGAGACTGGTTGATTATGGTGTCAGATCGGGAATTTTTTTTTTAACTGGGGGAAGATTCCTTCACAAAGGCAAAGGTATTTTATTTCACACAGCTATTACTGCAACGTGAATAGCACTCCCAGACAGGCACATACTCTGTGGTTTAGGTTGCTGGCTTCTTCAAAACAGTTTTACAGATAATATAATCCTTGTGGCGGGAGCCTCTGGTTATTGGGCACAGAAAGGATTCCGACCATCCTAAAAGACTCTAGAAGTGCCAGGGACCCTTCCTAATAGGAAGGTGAGACCAATCCAAAGCAGATACCCCAAAGTGACAGGACTCAAGTCAACAGCTCATGTTAACATTGACCTGGACTGAAGGAGTCCCCGGCGTTGCCAGGAAAACCCCACTGCAGGTTGAAGGCCAGGCGGTCCTAGAGGATCGTGGGAGTGCCCACCAGCCCACCCCCGCAGCCATCACCGATACTTTATGTGCTGTCATTCTGAAAACAACTGTTTTGTAAATATTCGAAACATGGACCTCCCCCACCACCCCAGCTCCACCGTGACCCCTGCGCGTTCCCCATCTCTCTCCTCCTTCACAAACAAGCGTTCCTTATGGAGTCGTGATCATAATGAATACGTAATTCTGCATCCTGGGGTTTTTGTTTTTGTTTTTACTTGCTATTATAGCAAAAACATCTTTGTGCTACACGGTCCTTTCGAGCATTATGTTAAATCACCTCAAAGCATTCCTTCAAGGAGACAGCCAGGTCGCACCCAACTTCTCACAGCCACAAACAAGGTTGCAAAAAACAAGTGTCTCACAGATATACAGCTTTCTTCCTCTCTTGGATTTCTTTGGTGGGGCACATTCCCAGAGGTGGGATTAATGTCCCAAAGAGCATGGGTAAACCACAAACTGCCCCCCGACACCGGCTCGGCACAAGGGGACTGATATCGGACTAAACTGCCACCCAGCGCCCTCACCCACTCCTCCCAGCTCAGTCATGGCGGTTGGACCCTGGCAAGGTAATTCACCCCTCGGAGCCTCTGACTCAGCAGGGTGACAGCAGTCCCTGCCTCATGGGCTAGTTGCGTGGACCAAACGCGTTTATCCATGTAAAGCACCCAGAGGACCGCCCAGCACCTACCTAGCGCTCAGTCGATGTGAGCTGTTTTATTCTTTTCATTTTTTATAGTCGTTAAGGCCATCAGCTCAGGGGCTTAGAGAGTAATTTTTATTTCAGGGCTTTTCCTACGAGGGGGTTAAAGTCCTCAGTAGCATATATGTGGATAATGGGGACGACAACAATGTGGTATAGGCAGCATTTACTGAGTCTTACTCTATGTCATTTAATTGTTATTAAATATTCTTACATTATCTCATTTAGTTGTTATAACCACAATCCTATGGGGTAAAACGCTAATAACTTCGCTTTTCAGATCAGGAATCACAAGGTAAATAAATGGCTGGACAGAGGAAACCAGGATTCAGAGACATGCAAGAGCTCAGAAGGACAGAGGGAAAGAGCAGGAATTCTGGGACTGCGGTCAAGCATTAGTGCTAAGTTAGCATCAGGCGAATTCTCCAGAAGGAAAGTCTCACTGACATAGCCTAGGCATTCACAGACAGACTGCTTCCCAAAAGAGGCAGCTTTCGATAAAGCACGTAAAGAAAAGGAAAAACAAATTAAATTCCAAACCCCTAAATATCAGTCAATGGTTGCTTCTTAAGTTTAAAGTACATTTTCGTTCACCATTAACTTCATTTACAAAGCAGAAACAAAGACATAACCAGGACAAGGAATTTCCCTTCTACCCACACTTTGCTCTCAAGCTTGTAAGAAAAACAGTGATAATCTCAGACAATCCAGGACTCTCAGGTCAGAGGCCAGCAGAAAGAACCCTGGTGAACACCAAAATCAGAAGCAAAAACTTGTGAATTACATCTTGATGAGAAATTTTTCAAATGCTTTTACCAAGGCTAGGACAACTATGAAGACATTGGGTCTAAGAATTCCATGGTGTCAAGAATGTTCTCAAGCTTATTAGACTCATTACATGCTTGTCTATTTTATAGACAACATTGGCTTGGGAATTGCTTTTGAATGGTTTGGTATTTTTCAGTGCTTAGTATCCATCCTTTGCTCTTACAAAATATGTGGAATTTTAAGCATACTGGGGGGATTCAACTTTTTTTGACAGGCGGAGCCAGATTTTATCTTCTAATGTACTTGGGTCCTGGGAAGGGGTAGGTGAGGTTTATAGGTACCAGTGAGAACTTGCTTGAATAAAAGGAAAGAGAGACTCCTGGTTACACATTTTCAGGCTGAAGACAGCCTTTGGGTGTGGGGTGAATGTGTGTGGAGGGGTTACAACTTCTTAACAGAGTTGGCCTTTGCCCCTGGACAACACTGGCCCACAATCCTTTTATTTAATAGTTTCCTCCCTATTGCCTAATCAAAAAATATCTCTTTCTTTTAAATGGTTGTTTCTCTTAACACATACTCATGATCTCAAGTTCTAGATATTTATCTAGTTGACAAACATAGTTGGAAAAACCCACCAGCCAACCACAATCTCCACCATTACCGGAAAAGTCTGTTAACGGATACACATTTATGATTCACACTGCCCTAGATTGTGTTTAAGAAAAGGAGAGACCCAGCACTACTATTTCTCTGTAAAAAGCATAATGGAAACCAGAAAATTGGAGGCTGAAAACTTCATATTCAGTAACGGGGAATTTCTAAGGACATATCTAACACCTGTTTCATACAATGGAACCAAACCAAGATTGTAAATACCCTTACTCTCCCTCTGCATATCCAAAGGTATTGTGTGTGGTTAGCTTGAGAGAATCACCCACTGGTTTTTTCCATACCCCAGAGAAAGGTGGTGGGCAAGTAGAACAGGTTTATAGCTTACTGGTGCTTAGAATCCAATGCTAGTCTAATCACGCGGAAAGAGACAAGCTCACTGCAGTACACCCAGCCCCATTTCACAGCCACTCACTGGAAGACCCACTGACATTAGATAAGCAACCAGAAATGGACACTCACTTTTGGTTTTGCTCTTGGCTTCAGTTGCTCTAACTTCTTAGCAGCAGCCTCAATGGATGCTGCAGCCCCCAGTAATTCTGTTTCTGCAATGACGGTTGGGTCTTCTGGATCCACCCACTCTGTTCCTAAAATCAGTCCAAAAGAGGGTCATTCTTGGTAGCTGCAGATCTCAGGGCACTGGCTTAATAAAGAACAATGTCTGGATTTGCATGGAGGGGGGCTCCATGAGCCTACTGCCTGCTGGCAATGTCCTAGAGGATCTTGTCTCTAGTTCTCATGGAGGTCATCTGGATGCAGGGGGCCTGCCTGACCCTGGGTTTCTAAATCAGTTATCTGTACATCTCTGCCACAGGAGTAGCCATTAATAACAGCTTCAAAAGTCAACATCTCATGGACAAGGCTAGCTTGAGCCTTATTCTGACTTCCAACTTCGAGCCCATGAATGCAAGTCAGCATCCTCAGGAGACTCTAGAATATGCTGACCAGAGATTGCCATTCTCTTCTCCTGAGAACACATAAGGAATAGCTCCTCACCTCAAGTCAAAGAAAGAAACATTTGTGAGAAAAACCTTTTCCCAATGAGCTAATTGCTTCCTTTTAACCATGACGGGGTGTGCAAACAAGGTACTCAGATAGCACCATTTCTAAACAGGAGGGCATTATCTGAATAAGAATAAATATTCCGATGAACGAAAATACACATAAAAATAAATGGTAGGATCCTTAAAGAGAGAAGTGAGTGGTTCTCAACTGATAAAGCCATTTAAGTGGAAGTACTTTAATACAAAGACTTGAGAGAAGACTTGCTTCAGGGAGAACATTAATTTTTAAATCAAATCTATATTTATTTGCTTGTAAAAAAAAAAAAAAAGTACCTTCCTATACTTCTTCTCACCGTATTTGCCTAGAAAGAGCTTGCATTGGCTGCGCTGTTGCTCTGCTTAGCCCACCATACGAGCACTGCTTCAGAGATGTGCTGGCACTGCAGACCCAGGACAAGAAAACGCGAGAGAACCCAACTTACCTTTCATGGCTTCTGCCGCCTGGATGAGCTCAGTCACCGCTCCGGCGACGCGCTTGGAGAAAGCAGACAACTGATGCTTGAGCTCTGGGGTTGGTTTCTGAAGAATCTATGGGTGGAGAACAAATCAAGCACATAAGGAGGTAGTAACCACGTGAAGCACACCCTTACTGGTGGGCGTGGAGTGGGACATCCTGGGTATAAGCTGTGTCTCTGTCCCAAAGTAACTTCAGCATCTTGGGGAGGAACACTTAAGTCTCCCTAGGCTTCAGCTTCCTCGTGTGAGAAATAAAAAGTTGGGCCCAGTCAGGGGTGTCTCTAAGGTCACTTCTGACACATTTCCCAAAGGCCATAAAGGAGACGAAGTCCTAAAGGAACGTAAAACAAACAGCATGCCTACGAAAATTCCCAAGTGTAAGGACATTCTGAGTGAGCGCAAAAGCCCCGAGCCAGCAAGTGCTTGTGCCAAAACAAACTGGGGCCACAGGGAATGCGTGACCCAGGTGGGGTCTTGGACAAAAATTCCCAAGTAAGCAACAACTAACTGATCTGGAGACCCAGAAAGAACAATCTGTTTCCAGGGTTTCCACTTCAAGTTCTCCTGGGAGAAGTACCACTCATGTGCCCTCTTTTGAACTAGTTCAAAGGTTTTTTGTTTTTTGCTTTTTTTAAAATCTTTTCCTAGTGGTAAAAAAGGTATTGAAAACCCCAACCTCCCACCCAACACAAAGGATATCCCCTGCTGATTTCTCAAATTCATTAAAGAATGGACCTAGGAGATGGGACGAGAGCTCCTCACCACCCTCTACCATTCTGGTTTGCACCATCCACTTTCTTCCTAATTTTCCAAATTCCTCTCCCGACACTCTTTTCTGCTCCTCTTCCCCATGGTTCACAGCATTAAAGTTCAGATTTAGAAATTTTAAGGCAGTTAGGAGGAAAGCACCAAGCTGCCTGACTAGGGACAATTCTGGAGCCTCTGAGCAGGGGATGAAGAACGGGCTTTGGAATTGGACAAACCTGTGTTCAAACCTGGCTTCACCTGTTATTGGTTTATGCTATTGGACAAATTACTGAACCCCTCAGCGTGTTTCTGCATCTGTAAAACTGGAATAATACCTATCCCTCAGGGCTGGTGGAAAGACTAAATGGAATAACACATGGGAAAAAGCTTGCACAATGCCAGGAACACAGTAGACACTCATTAAATGTTAACTCTCTTCTTGGTGTCCCATGGCCCTTCACCTGGCTGGCTAAGTCATTCCCTCTCAGGAGTCTGGAAAAGCTGGCTTTTGGGCCCCAGGCCTAACCCTGTCATACTATGACTACAACGGAAGCTTAGTAAAAAATCTGCGGCTGGGGCGTTAAAGGGTTACACTGTGACCAGCCCAGGCATACCTGGGCATGGAGGTCATTACATTACACATTCAAACTGATCAGTCCGTGATTTTAGAGCATCACGTCACATACATCTATCCCCATCCTCCCTCCTCTTGCATCTTCTAACTTTATTCTCTATTTGCAATTATTCTATGATTTCAGCGGGTGTGTTTTTCTTGTTCTCTCACCCTAGGAGGTACACATAGCAGTATGCAGATATTAAAAACTCAGCACAGACCTGTGGGTGAGTGAAAAAATGGATGAATACATGAATAACACACTGATGCTACTGGAGCATGTCTCAATGTGATGGCTCCCTAGGCCAGTTCCAGAAGAACATTAGGACCATGCAGAGGTGGCGGGTGAGTGGGGACTGTTTTTACTTCCTAACACAGTAAGTGGGCAGGGAGTTCAGTTAAGAAGGGGTTCTGAAGTCAAAACACCTGTGTAACCCTGCTCCTATTACTTATCCTCGCTCTAAGCCTCAGTTTCTTTATCTATTAAATGGGGATAACAACTGTCCTTTCCTCATAGAGTTGCGATGAGATTATGTAAATTAATGCCCACAAAGGGCTTCTGACAGAATTGGTCTCGTGTGCGGCCGGGGCATCTGGATTTTTTAAAGTTCCCCAGGTGATTTTCATGCAATCAGAACTGTGAGCCACCGCTCTAGGCTCACATGGTGGCATTTACTACTAAATTTTAAAATTCTTGCACTGTATTTGTCTGAAACAGTATCTGCTACAAGGCCACCAGGTGGATAATGGTTATGGCTTCAGGGTCTGGATTTCTAAGAGATCCACTGGAATCATTAAATGGTGTCTCTACAGTGGTTAATCCAACATGAATAAGCAGAGTTAAGGGTATGGTAGTGTCTTAGTTACCTGGTGCTGCTGTAACAGAAATACCACAAGTGGATGGCTTTAACAAACAAATTTATTCTTTCAGAGTCTAGGAAGCTATTAGTCTGAATTCAGGGCAGCAGCTCACGGGGGGAAAGGCTTTCTTTCTCTGTCAGTTCTGGGGAAAGGTCCTTGTCATCAATCTTCCCCTGGTCTAAGAGCTTCTCAGCGCAGGGACCCTGGGTCCAAAGGATGCGCTCCACTCCTGGTGCTTCTTTCTTGGTGGCATGAGGTCCCTATCTCTCTGCTGGCTTCTCTCTCCTTTGATCACTTGTAAGATAAAAGGTGATGCAGGCCACATACCAGGGAAACTCCCCTTACATGGATCAGGGCTATAACCTGAGTAAGGGTGTTGCATCCCAACCTAATCCTTTTTAACATAACCTAATCTTGCCTCATTAACCACAGGCAGAGATTAGGATTCACAACACATAGGAAAATTACATCAGATGACAAAATGAAGGACAACCACACAATACTGGGAATCATGGCCTTGCCAACTTGACACATATTTTTGGGGGACACAATTCAATCCATGACAGGTGGGGAGACTCATACTTAATGGCAAAAGACTGAATGCTTTCCTCCTAAGATCAAGAACTAGGTGAAGATGTCCACTCTCACACCTCTATTCCACATAGCACCAGAATTCCTAGCCAGTGCAATGGGGAAGAAAAAGGAATAAATGGCACACAGATTGGAAAGGGAGAAGTAAAACTGTCTTTATTTGCAGATGGTATAATCATCTATATAAAAAATTCTGAGGAATTGAACAAAAAAAGCTACTAGAATAAATGAGTTTAGCAAGGTCACAGTATTCAAGGTCAATATACAAATGTCAATTGTATTTCCACATAGCAAGGAAAAATTGGAAGTTCCAATTAAAAAAATACCATTTATAATATAAAAAAATATGAAATAGCTAGGATAAATTTGACAAGAGGTGTGCAAGCACTGTACACTGAAAACTACAAATATTTTTGAGAAAGATTAAAGAACATCTAAATAAATGGAGAGATGTACCATGTTCATGGATTCAAAGATTCAGTATTGTTAAGATGTTGATTCTCCCCAGATTGATCTACAGATTTAATACAAACTCAATCAAAATCTCAGCAGGATTTTTTTTTTTTTTAGAAATCGATAAGATGATCCTAGAATTTATTTATAAATACAAAAAACTTAAAATAGCCAAAACAATTCTGAAAAAGAAAGCTGGAAGTCTTAAACTACTTCATTTCAAAACTTATTATGAAGAAGTAATAATCAAAACAGTGTGGTACTGGCATCAAGATAAACATAAATCAATGGAGTAGAAAAAAGTCCAGAAACAGATCCATGTGTGTGGTCAAATGAATTTCACTAAAGGTGCCAATGGGAATCCACAGGATAAGTTTTCAACAAATGGTGTTGGAACAATTAGATAGCCATATGCAAGAAGATGAGCCTTTTCCTTCATTTTAGGATCATGATTCTTTCTCATACTACATGCATAAATTAACTCAGAATGGATCATAAACCTAAATGTAAGAACTAAAACTACAGAGAAGAAAATAGGAAAAAAATCTTAGTGACCTTGGGTTTGTCAAAGATTTCTGAAATAGTACACAAAAAGCACAAACTAGAAAAGAAAACAATTAATGAATCTGACTTCATCAAAATTAAAAGTTTTTGATCTTCAAAAGACAATGTTATTCATCCAATGGAATGTTCCTTGGCAATAAAAAGGAATGAATTACTGATACATGCTACAACATAGACGGACTTCAAAACTATTACGCTAAGTGAAAGAAGCCAGTAACAGAAGATCATAAATTATATGATTCCATTTATATGAAAAGTCCAGAATAGGCAAATCTATAGAGACAGAAAGTAGACCAGTGGTTACTGGGGGCTGAGGGTAAGGAGTGGGGGGAGGAACTGTTAATGGGCATGAAGTTTTTTTTTTTTTTGCAGTGATAAAAATGTTCTAAAATTATATGATGTTTATAGTTATACAACTTTGTAAATATACTAAAAACTACTGAATTGTACACTTTAAATGGGTGAATTTTGTGGTGTATAAATTATATCTCAATAAGATCATTTAAAAGAAGAAAATAAACACCGCATGCAAATGAAAGATTTGCAGGAAGCGGGGCTATAATTTTAAAAATAATTTGACAACTTTTGCAAATGGACATGTTCAGTTCAACTTAAATGCTTAATATCTGAGATACAGTTGTTTTACTTTCATATGTATCTAAGTTCTAGCTGCACACAATTTTTCCTTTGTTTTTTCAACTCTCTGCAGTGCTGTCATTTTCTTTCTTTTTTTAATAACGTACATTTGTCACCCTACTCCCCAAAACACTGTTATGAAAATAGGCAAGTCACAGTCTGAGAAAAATTATTTGCAGAACACACATCTGACAAAGAACTTTATCTGGAAACTAGAGAATAAGTTCTCAGTAATAAAAATGATAAACAACCCAATCAAAATGGGCAAAAGATCTGAGCAGACACTTCATCAAAGAAGATACAAGGAAAGCAAATAGACACATAAAAAAGATGATCAACAATGTAAATTAGAACTGTAATGGGATACTACTACATACCCACCAAGATGGCTAAAATTAAAAAGACTGGCCATACCAAGTGTTGGCAAGGATGTGGAGCAACTGGAACTCTGCTACACTCGTGGTGGAAATGTAAAAGAGTACAACCACTTTAGAAGACAATTGGGTAGTTTCCTAAAAAAGTTAAATATTTGACACTGACATGCCACTTCTAGGTATCTACCCAAGAGAAATAAACATATATATCTATATGGAGACTTGTACATAAA